GTGATTCCATATTTTTTCATTAAAGACTTAAATGACTTACAAAAATGTGTTCCACCATCACTTATCATGGCTCGAGGGATTCCAAATCTACTTAAAATATTTTCTTTTAAAAACTTTATCACTTTTTGTGATCATTGTTTCAACTTGGAATTGCCTCTATCCATTTTGCAATATAATCTACTACGACTAATATGTACAAAAAACCAAATGATGGAGGAAATGGACCCATAAAATCTATACCCTAACAGTCAAAGATCTCGATGACAAGAATAAGATTTAAAGGCATCATGTGATGTTTTGAAATAGATCCCAACTTTTGATAACTTTCACAAGTCTTGCAGAATACGTGTGAGTCCTTGAACATAGTGGGCTAGTAAAATTCACTTTCTAAGATTTTTGTAGTTTTCTTTCTTGATGAGAAATGACCCCTACATGCCTCAAAATGAAAAAAATTTAATGACACTACTTACCTCATTGTCAGGAATGCATTTTTGAAATATTTGATCACGATAATATTTAAATAAATAAGGGTCATTGTAATCAAAGTTCTTCACTTCGTTTAAGAACTTTTTTTTATCTTGGGTAATCCAATGAGTTGGCAAATATCTTGAAACAAGAAAATTAACAATATTAGCAAACCAAGGATTGTAGAGACAAAAAATAAGGATTCATCAGGAAAGTAGTCATCGATTAATGTGATGTCAGATCTCGAGTCTATTGTCAATCTTGACAAATGATCCGCGATAACATTTTTATGCCTTTCTTGTCTTTGATTGTGATATCAAATTCTTGAAGTAATAAAATCCATCGTACTAGTCTAGCTTTAGAATCCTTTTTTGAAAAAAGATATTTCAAAGCTGCATGATTACTAAAAACAACAACAGGTGAACCGAAAAGATAAAACCTAAATTTTTCACATGCAAATACTACTGTAAGTAATTCTTTTTTAGTGGTGGTGTAATTGATTTGAGCACTATTTAAAGTTTTACTTGCATAGTAAATCACGTAAGGTTTCTTATCTTTTCTTTGTCCCAAAACAATACCCACAACATAATCACTAGCATCACATATTATTTCAAAAGATAATGACCAATCAGGAGGTTGAATAAAAGGAGCACAAGTAAGCAAGTTTTTAAGTTTAACAAAGGCTTTTTCACATTGTTTAGTCCATTCAAAAATATTTTTCTTTGTTAAAAGGTTACATAATGACTTAGATATAACAATAAAATCTTTGGTGAACCTTCTATAAAAACCAGCATGTCCTAAGAATGATCTAACATCTTGAATAGATTTTGGTGTTGGCAAGTTGGCAATTAACTCGATTTTAGATTTGTCAACCTTAATTCCTTTCGATGAAACAATGTGATCAAGTACAATGTCGTTTATTACCATAAAATGACATTTTTTTCAATTCAGCACAAGATTATTCTCTTCATATCTGCTCAAAACCTTTTCTAAGTTAGTCAAACAATCATCAAATGAATTGCCAAAAACAGAAAAATCATCCATAAAAATTTCAACAAAACGTTCAACCATATCACTGAATATGCTAAGCATGCATCTTTAAAATGTGACTGATGCATTATATATCCAAAAGGCATCTTTCAATATGCAAATGTACCAAATAGACATGTAAAAGTAGTATTTTCTTGATCTTCCAATACAATTTCAATTTGCTTATAACCTGAACAACCATCTAAAAAACACTAAAATTCATGACCTGCAACTCTTTCTAGGATTTGATCCATGAAAGGTAAGGGGAAATGATCTTTTCTAGTCATTGAATTAAGTTTCCTATAGTCAATGCATATGTGCCAACCAGTAACAGTCCTAGTTGGAATTAACTTATTTTTCTCATTTGTTATCATAGTGAATCTAGACTTCTTGGGTACAACCTGGATAGGACTTACCCATTTGCTATCAGAAATAGGATAAATGATTCCATTATCTAGAAGCTTAAAGACTTCATTCCTCACTACTTCTTTCATATTAGGATTAAACCTTCGTTGCATTTCTCTAGAGGGTTTAGCATTTTCCTCTAAATAAATCTTGTGTATGCAAATCAAAGGACTGATTCCTTTTATATCAGTTGTGGTCCATCCTAATGCATTTTTTTGCATTTTCAGAGTTTGTAATAACTTACCTTCTTGATGTGCATTAAGTTTGGAAGAAATTATTACTAAAAAAGTTTTATTTTCTCCCAAAAATAAGTATTTGAGATTGAATTATAATAACTTCAAATCAGGTTTTGATGGTTGAACACACGAAGGTATAGACTCAATTGATCGTGGTGCCAACTCTTTAATTTGTGGTCTCTAATTACTTGTTTTTTATTCTTCCTGAAAATAAACCATTTGCAAATTCTTAGATTCATTAAATTTAATTTCACTAGAAATAGTTTCAAATTGATCGTGAACTAATTTTTTAATAAAGTCCACTTCCTGTAAATCATTATTATCTTCAGATTGCTTGCAAATGTTGAAAATATTCATCTCCAATGTCATGTTTTCAAATGATATCTTCATCAGTCCATTCATACAATTAATCAATACGTTAGAAGTTGCAAGAAATGGATGTTCTAAAATAATAGGAATTAAATTACATGCTTCAACAGTTTGTGTATCCAGGACAATAAAATCCACAAGATAAATGAATTTATCAACTTATACTAACACATCTTCAACTATTCCTGTAAGCACTTTTACAAATCAATTAGTGATTAGTACTTAAAAGTGCATTTTTATCAAGGTTTTATATCATCATTTTGCACTTGAAGTATCAATAACTCCTTAACTAAAGCATGTTTTATAATAATATATCTAATAATATAAGATACCTTTAATTTGCGGTAAATGTTCATTTTAAATGCAGGCCTATCACATAAATGAAAGGATTGATTGATGAATTTAAGAACTGAAATTGAAAGGATAAAGAGATGGTCAAACTTAGAAAAAAGATGTCGGTGCAATCCAAACCGGAACACTATTGGGTAATTAGGTCATATCTAGAGCTATAGATCTCCGATTTAGGTCTACTTTATATAGATGGAAAGGTAAGACATAGGCCTACAACTTTCATATGGAGCCCAAGATCTACAAAGGCCATTTTCAAGTCCAAATTATAGCAACAACAAAAAAGCCCGAATCTGTCCTCCAGCCCGAGTACTGTTCAGTATTTTGGCCATATCTGGAGTTCTATAAGTCAAAATGAGTTGAATTTTTTACAAAAGAAAGCTGAGATAATTGTCTACAACATTTATGTTTTCGAGTGGCTCCAATTTTGATGTTATCAATAATGTTTTGGGCAGATAAGAGAAGATAAGGATTGTCACCAAGTCAAGAGTTGGCCACTCACTCATCAATTAGTCATCAAATTAATAGTTCCTAATTTTGGCCTATAAAAGGAGGCATTTGCTATGCATTTAGGCATCTTGGTCTCCAGATCAAGATCATGCTCTTGCTTTCTCTCTTTTTATTTTTTGTAATGTTTATGCTTTGCTTTCATTAATATCAAGTTTATGCCTTTCATTTCCTTTCACTTACTTAGTTAACTTTTATCTTATTTATGTTCTTATTTTGTTTATTTATTTTTCTTTCTTTCATTATGTCTAGCTAAGTTTATTATGTCAAGGTAAAAAGGTTACACTAATGGGGTAAGAATAAGTATAGTGTAAACTTAATATGGACTTTAATGTTTGATACTAACATGTTTTGTATTTGTTATCTTGTTAACTCTTTAATACTTTGCTTGTTAAATGACTAATCTTGATTTATGTTGTATAACACTTGGAGGACAACTTCGGGCTTCTTTGTTGTTGCAATAATTTAGACTTGAAAATGGCTTTTTAGATCTTGGGTTCCATATGAAAGTTGTAGGTCTATATCTTACCTTTCCATCCATATAAAGTAGACCTAAATCTGAGATCTATAGCTCTAGATATGACCTAATTACCGATCAGTGTTCCGGTTTGAATTGCATCGACATCTCTTTTCTAATTTTGGTCATCTTTTTGCCCTTGCAATTTAAGTTCTTAAAGTCATCAATCAATCCTTTCATTTATGTGATAGGCCTGCATTTAAAATGAACATTTACCACAAATTAAAGGTATCTTATATTATTAGATATACTATTATAAAACATGTTTTAGGTAAGGAGTTATTGATACTTCAAGTACAAAATGATGATATAAAACCATGATAAAAATGCATTTTTAAGTACTAATCACACCCCCCAAGCAGCTTATTACTAGTCCCTAGTAATCAAAGCGTTAAAATAGAAAAACAATTTGCAAATTCCACAAAGCAAGGTATTCATCATTTAACTTCCATTAATCTATCCAGATAAACAAACTCTCGTTAAATTTATATACCTGCTCAATACCTCTTAACAAGATATTCATAAACCTTTCTTTTGTGCTCAATGCATCAACACATAATTATGAGGCTTTTCTTGGAAGAAAACAAAATTTTTGTTCTAATGTTTAAGGTTAACTTCCTTGGGTTGGGATTATTATTTTTGTCTTTTTTTTTTCTTCTGTTTTTTTTAAATATATATACATATAATTTAAAAACACCATGCATCTTTAACCCATGTAACGAGCTTTCGGCTAATGACTCCCAGACCAGTTTGTTTTAGTGCATTAGGTGTTAAGACACCCCTACGAGCTTAGTAACTCGGGTCGCAGATATTGATATGTAGATAGTGCAATGTTTGATTTCCTTAAGCTTTTCTCCTCAACCCATGTAACAAGCGTTGGGCCAATAGCTCCCAAGTCAGTTGACTTTAGGGTAGTAGGTGTTAAAACACCCCTTCGGGCTTAATTGCTTAGGTTAGGGAGGCTACGAAACCAAACTTATCTATATTTTTATTATCTACATTTTTTTTCTTTTTTTTCTTTTTTTTTTAATTATATACAAGCCCTTTCCCTTAGTTGTTACCTTTAACAAATGAACATAAATAATGTAATAATCCAATATGCAACCCACAATCATATGTTAAAGTGTGTGTGTGTAAATTAAGGTTTAAGAATACATGTTAAATAAGTATATGAGCAGAATTAAGTGATAATAATGCGAGAGTTTGTAAACCTAAATATTTCAAGAAGTATTATGATAAACCTTATTAAGAATGGTTACTAAGATGTGTCTCAAGAGTCATAAAAGTTCTGCTTACTCTGCCATCATAGTAACAATAATTTTGCACATGCTTTATGAAATAGAAAACACAATTTTTTTTTTTAGCTATTACCCTCTCCCCCCAACTAAAACAAAACATTGTCCTCAATGTTTAAAGATAGAAAGATAGAGTATAGAAGATATCACCTGAAATAACGAACACTAACAAACCTAAAACACACGAAAACAAATAAAAGTAACAACAAAACACAATAATAAAACCAAAAGACACAAGTTTTTAGAAACTAAAATTCAAATCGCAGTTGTGATTGTGGCTCACATCTTCCCTTGGTTTTACGTCCAAGAACAGCTTAAACGCCCTCAATGGGTCGGGGATAGGCTTCCCATCTAATTTTCTTAAAAACTGGCAAACATGGTCTTTTTTAGTCAGATTCTCAAGAGTAAGTCGATCATATTCTTTATGAAATAATGGCGATAAAACATGAATTACACGATGCACATCTCCACTAGGATGCGTCTCAAGAGTCAATAGAAGATTATCTAAAGACTCCTTACTCGGGTCATCCTTAATGAATTGTATTTTATCTTCACGGTTTATAGATACCATTCCTAAAGAACGACATTGTGTATTACAAGTCCATCTAGCACATCGATGACAGATTTCTAGTTGTTTTGCACGACGTTTCTTTGTAAAAGTGCTTTTACCTGTTCCAGGCATGTGTGAAATGAAGGAGTTAGAAGACTCACCTGATAATCGGACCTTTGCTTCATTCAACCAGCGAATATCTTCAGGAATTCCATGATTCATTAACAATCTCAATCTTGCACATCTAGCGCGGTAAATTTTTGTAATCGCATTCTGAGGCAAAGCGGGAAAATACTTTTTCAATTTTTCAAGATTAGTGTCCATTTTTAAATGAGAATTAGAAGAGAGATTCAAAAAAAATTGCACAAATATATACACAGATATCAGTTATTGTGGGAAACTGAAAGAACCGACTTAAGTCACGGAGTACCGTTATCCGCCATTTGACCGGGGTGAGAGAAACTAGCAAAAATCACTCAAAAAGAAACACAAAAACAATGTAAGAAAAACAAAATAATCAACCTTTATCTATAAGATCATTCAAACCAGTTGATTCATTTTCACTAGGAAAATTATCAAAATAAGCTTTCAAACGATGTCCATTTTCCTTAAAATCATTGTCATTCATTGAATTCTCAATATCATAGGTCCCATAAGGATTGTTCCATCTTGATCTTAGCTCTCTAGGTAATGAATAGAGTTGAGAATTATAAAACAAAACTTTTTTACCAGTATCAATCTTTTGACAATTTTCACACATTTTGCAGAATGCATGCGTGTCCTTGAACATGGTGGGCCAATAAAATCCATTTCGAAAGATTTTTATAGTTGTCTTTTTTTACGAGAAATAACTTCCACATGCTTCAGAATGACAAAGTTTAATGACACTACTTACCTCATTGTCGGGAATGAATCTTTGAAATATTTGATCAGGACAATATTTGAATAAGTTAGGGTCATCACAATAAAAATTCTTCACTTTGTTCAAAAACTTTTCTTTGTCTTGACTACTCCAATCAGTTGGCAAATCTCCTAAAGCAAGAAAATTGATATTTTTATCATACCAAGGCATTGGACTAAGAGAAAGTAAGGATTCGTTAGGAAAGTAATCATCGATTGGTGTGATGTTAGATGTCGAATTTGTTGTCACTGTTGACAAAAGATTCGCATCAACATTTTCGGTGCTTGTTTCATCCGTGATTTCTTCCTTAGAATAAATCATTTGCAAATCTTCAGATTCATCTAACTCATTTTTACTTAAAGTAGATTTAAGTTGATCATAAACTAATTCATCAATATGATCTACTTCTTATAAATCATTATCATCTCCAGGTTGCTTGCAAATGTTGAAAATATTCTTCTCCAATGTCATGTTTCCAAATGATAGCTTCATCAATCCATTCCTACAATTAATCAATGCGTTAGAGGTTACAAGAAACGGACGTCCTAAAATAACAGGAAATGAATTACATGCTTCAATAGGTTGTGTGTCCAAGACAATAAAATCCACAGGATAAATGAATTTATCGACTTGTACTAACACATCTTCAATTATTCCTCTAGGCACTTTTACAGATCTATCGGCAAGTAAAAGAGATATAGAAGTTGGTTTTAACTCACCTAGATTGAGACTCTAAAAAACTGAATATGGAAGTAAATTCACACTAGCACCGAGATCAAGTAAGGTTCTTTCAATTTTATGCTCTCCAATAAAGCAAGAAATTGTTGGACAACCAGGGTCTTTATATTTCAAAGCATTATTGTTCTGAAGAATAACACTTGTTCGGCTAGAAAGACTTTCTTTTTCACATTCAGTTTCCTCTTTACAGTGCATAGATCTTTCAAAAATTTAGCATAGGAAGGAATCTATTTAATAGCATCCAGCAAAGGTATATTGATCCTTACCTGTTTGAAAATTTCAAAAATTTCAGAGTTGTGATTGACTTTTCTTTGTTTGGTCATGGCATGAGGAAATGGAAGTGCTGGTGAAGAATCAGTATTTTCTTTGTAATTTTCAGATTCAACCCCTTCCTTCTCCTTAGAGATTGACTCATCATCTTTCTCATAAGGTTCAAGAGAGGGTTTTTCAATAACCTTACCACTGCGCAGAGTAGTGACTGATTTGACTTGATCCAGGTGGTGGCTTCCGGAACTACTTGCATTTACATTGTATTGCCCCTTGGGATTTTGTTGTGGTTGAGATGGAAACTTACCTTTCTCTTGGAAACTGAGAGCATATGTTAATTTTGCAAGAGTATCTTTAAAATCTGTCATGTTTTGAGCAAGTTGAGTATTGATTGTCTCTTGCTTTTCAATGAATGCATGCAATGTTTCCTCAAGATTTCTTCTAGGAGGTGGAGCATAAGGAGGTGCATATCCATGAGAATTTTGGAAATTGTGGTGTACTTGAAATAGTGGTTGTGAAGTTTGTACATTGTTATTATCACTCTTCCAACTGAAATTTGGGTGATTTCTCCAACTAGGGTTGTATGTTTGGGAATATGGGTTGTGGTTGGCCCTTTGAAAACTGTTTAAAGCTTGGGCTTGTTCATGGAGACATTCCTTAAAAGAAGGCAAAGTTGGACAATCGTTGGTTGAGTGTTCATTTGTTTCACAGATTTGACACACAATGTTTTCAATAGATTTTAATTGACCACTCTTTTTCAATTCTAGTGCCTCGACTTTTCTAGCTAAAGATGCAAACTTGGCTTGAAAGTCATGATCTTCCATAAGGTTGTACATACCTCCACTAGATGTATGAGGTTGAGTTTTACTCGGTGCCTCATAAGTACCCGCGGTGTCCCAATTTTGAGCATTTTCAGCTAATAAGTCTAAGTACTCCATTGCTTCAGTAGGGTCTTTATCTTCTAAAGTTCCATTGCACATCAATTCAACCATTTGCCTATCTCTAGGTGTTACCCTTCATAAAAATATGAAACCAATCTCCATGTTTCAAAACCATGATGAGGGCAAGTACTAAGCAAGTCTCGATACCTCTCCCAACATTGATAAAATGTTTCTCCTGGTTTTTGAGTGAAAGTGGTGATTTGTCTTTTGAAAGAGTTTGTTCTATGAGATGGGAAAAACTTCTTTAAAAATTATTGTTGCATTTCATCCCAAGCACGAATGGATCCTGGTCTTAAATTTTGTAGCCATGTTTTAGCTTTATCTTTTAATGAAAAAAGAAAAAGCTTTAATCTGATGGTGTTTACGCTACAATTTAAATTATTATATGTGTTGCAGACCTCCTCGAATTCCCTTAAATGCAAGTATGGATTTTCCAATTCTAAGCCATGAAAAGAAGGTAAAAGTTGAATAATACCTGGTTTAAAATTAAAATGAGATACATCGGGAGGAAAAACTATGCATGATGGTGCACTTGTTCTTGTGGGATTCATGTGGTCTCTAAGTGTTCTAGCACGGTTATTCTCATTATTCTCATTATAAAGTGATTGATTATCTTCTTCGGCCATATTTTTTGAAAATGATGAGGATACCCTACAAAGTCTACCACTTGATGTACGTAACCACACTCTTATGCACATGTAGGAATAAAATAAAAGGAAGAAGAAAACAAAAGAAGAAGAAACAAGAGAAAAGAAACAAAGTTATATACAAGAAAAGTGAAAAGAGAAAATAAAATAAATATTATAATTTATACAAAACTTACCTCCCCGGCAACGGCGCCAAAAACTTGACACGACTAAAAGATTGATGTCTTCTCCCAAGTGCAGGAGTGTCGAAGTAATAAATAACCCGGCAAGACCGGAGTCGAACCATAGGGAGGTTAATTGTACAAATTATAAATAACAATAATACAACAACAATAACAATAACAATAACAACAACAACAACAATAATAATTGTAATAACAATAGTAATAATAATACTAATAATAATAGTAATACTAATAATAATAGTAGTAGTAGTAGTAATAATAATAATAATAATAATAATAATAATAATAATAATAAAGAAAAAGAAGAAGAAGATGATGAGAACTTTGAGAAGGAATATTAATGTAACGATTAAACAATGATAATAACAAATGTCAAGGTTAGAGGTTCCACTAATGGTATGTCAAACAAGTATAGTATAAACTCTTATTATTCAATTGCAACCACACACAAGAGCATTTTCAGAAAGAAAGGCATAAATTTGATATTAATGAAAGCAATGCATGGCAAATGCCTCCTTTTATAGGCCAAAATTGGGAACTATTGATTTGATGACTAATTGATGAGTGGGTAGCCAACTCTTGACTTGGTGACAATCCTTATCTTCTCTTGT